AAAATTTCCAAAAAAATAAAAAATTAAGTATCTTGTGATTCCATTACGTAGACATAAATGCAGTTAAATGTTTGGCACATTTTCATTTTAGTCTTTTTCAATGTATAAATATTAAAATTATTTCATAGTTGAGATCATTCTGCATATATGGTAACTGTATTTTGCATTTTTTTTCACTTTTAACGTCGTGAGCATTTTTTCCCATGGCATTAAAAACTGTCTTTGAAAATGGAAAGCACTTTGGGCTGTCAGCATAACTGAAAATGTTTTCTTGGTGTGACACATGTATCTTTGTAATTGGTTTGATTTAGTGTGCTTTACTTCAATAAAAATTCAGTGTTACATTTTACAGATTGGGGTGGGGAGTGGTATCTACTTCAAATGACAAATCTTTTAGTAGAATTCCTTTTTAATTGATTAAACTCCCCTGGTACATCTGAAACACTCCGTTGACACTACAAGTGCTTGCCTGGCACCTCAGCACATGCCTTGGAGAGTGCTGCACATCTGGATAGTGAAATGCATTTCCAAGGCAAGAATGCCAGTTCTTAGGGCTTCCAGACAGGAGGTTACCCATTTTGTTCCAGTTGGGTTTTCAGATCCGCCCCTCTCCGGGAGACGGTGACATTGGTGGAGCAGATCTGCAGAGGGCCCTGAACTGTGCTGGTGGATCAACAGTGTGCCTTCTCACCTCCAGGGCTAGCCCTCTTCACAGGGGCGCAAGGTGCTTGGAGCCAGTAGAGAGTGTAGGCGAAGCCTCAGGCCACTGGCTGCTGGACACGGCAGTGAGATTGACTGAGCCAGCATTTGCTCTTTCTCTGCCTTTGTATGACCAGACTGTGTGTTGGGAAATTGGAATTACATGTAATGAATTTTGCAAACAGCATTTTCTTATTACTCTAAGCATGGACTTGAAATGACAATAATAGCTGTGTGCTACTTTTAATAATTTGCCATGTAACTTGGATTCCTATAACCTGGACTGTAAACTTGTTTTAGTTCCAGTGGGAGTTTTCAAAGTATGATTAAATCATCTTAAACCTTTTCCCACTCCTGCACTAATTTTAAGTGAATGCAGAAACTTTAAAGTTGATGAGTTAATTTATCTTGTATTAAGTGCTTGAGACTTCTCTGTCTAATCATGCTACTTGTTCTACTGCTTTTTGTCAATTGATATTCCCTTTGAAAAAGTGTTTTTGGTAGAAATTAAGTTGTATGCCCCCTGGACATACAACTTAGTTTTTTAGTTCTGAAGCATGTTTAGATATTCTGTACTTGTATAGGTCTGATTGTTCATGTGGCTTAGCTAAGGTTTTCCAAAGCATCTTTAGTAGCTGTCATTGGTTTATAAAATAAAATTTGGGCTGTTTAAAATGCACATATTTTTTGGTTGTTAATATTTTTTTGACACTTGTGAAGTTTTGGGGGGAAGATGAATGAATTCAAACTTTGAAAAGATTCTCACAGCTGAGAGTAGGTAATAGATAGGTAATGTTGCACATTGTGATTTTACTTGTGCTATTCAATCAAACAAGTCCTACACCCAATGGAGGAAGACTCGTTCTCTAGAAGTTACTGGGGAATTTTCAGATTGGCCAAATAGATGCTTAATGTATTTTCTTTCTTTCTTTCTTTTTTTTTTTCCCTCAGTACTGGGGATTGAACTCAGGATCTTGCGCTTGAGCGTGGTGCCGCTGAGCTAAATCCCCAGCTTAGTGTATTGTCTTTTTAATGGAGAAGTTGAAACTGTAAGAAACATTGGCTACAAGTGCCTAATCCACTTGTGATGGAATGCTTTATGAGCCTTTGGCATTGGTCATTACTGCCACAGGACCCTATAGTTAACTGGAAGGGAATCTGGGATGAGGTTTGTTGAAATTTTCCTGTAGTTTTAAATGATAAAGGGGATCCTGAATTTAATGAGATAGACCGGTTAATTGCCAAATTCCAGGTTTTGCAGTATTACAGAAAACGATGACCTGGTAGTATGTTATGGGCTGTGGAATTAGGAAAAAGGAGGGTACAGCTCTCCTTGCAAGTTCAGTTTATGTGTAGAGCTTTAAAAAAAACTGCCAACAACTTGGGGATCATGGAACTGTAAATATGATGGTATTGATTTTAGGTGAAGTGAGCTGCCAGCAGCCTGAATTCATTTCTTAAAATCCACTGATTTCAAAATGTGGGGTGGGACTTTTGAGACATTCATTTTCAAAATTCAGTTAGTGTTATGTACAGACACTGTTCAGTCCATTGGAGATTAAAAAAAACCTGTCTATAGGAAGAGATGGTTGATAGTGTTGTATAAGAATAGCCCAAGGTGTTTAACTATTTTTTTTTTTTAAAGAAGTCAGTGTGTTGGGGAGGAGGAAGTATGGTTCTTCTGATGATAATTCTGAAATGTCCAGTAGGGAGCTAGAAATACAGGTCAGCCTTGAAGTCCTGGGGCTGGGTCCATTTCTAAGGTCCAACCTTGGAAAACATTGCCTGTGGGCAAACTAAAGCAGTGGAGAAACTCACTCTTGGTAACAATTGGCTGTCCGGCAGAAGAGAAGCTGGGCAGAGGAGACTTGAGGAAGGAGCTGGCAGGTTGGAGAATAGGAAGGAGTAGGTTTCAAGCAGGAGGGAGAAGGAGCCAGTGAGAGACTTGACGAGGAGAGGTAGGAGAAGCAGGCAGTGGCCTCTGTGGAGGTGCCAGAGGAACTTGTGAGCCTCAGGCAGCTGCAGTGAGCCTTGGAAGAGAAGCCCAGACCTGGTTTTGGAAGGAACTGCAAGTTATTGGTATTGGCAATGAATGATTTAGTCTTAAGTTGGGTGAAGAGGACAGAAAGGGAGAGCAACTAATTAGACTAGGCCTTAAGAGGCAGGCTGGCCCTAGACCAGCGGTGGTGAACCTATGGCACACGTGCCACAGCAGGCTATTTTTATCATTGGAAGCTCTAGAAAGTTCGCCATCACTGCCTAGACTCTCAGTCCACTTCCTCACTAAACCAATTCAGTCTTTAAGAGGAGGCAGCTTACAGTGAATAGGAGTGTAGATTGCGCTTGAGTGCTTGTCTCAGCTCTTGCTTACTACCTGTTGAGCTTGGGGTGGATTAGTCACCTTTTAAAATTTGGCTTTTCATCTGCAGAATGGAGTAATATAGATGTCATAGGGTTACTTCAAAGATTAAATTAAAAAGTACTTAGTATAGTGGCTGATGTAGGAAATATTCCAGCATTTTTATTTTTTTTTAACAGGTGCTGGCCTTTGAAAGGTCAAGAGGTAAAGAAAGACTAGTTAGAATTTCTCAGACCGAATGGGAGTGGGGTGCCTCCTTGTCAGGGAAAGCTGTGAGGGAGCTGGTTGGATTAGTGCAGATAGGGGTGTGGGGGGCACCTGGAGGCGGGAGTTGAGTTCCAAGCAGTTGATCCAGGGAGATGTGGGCATGGAATACTGTCAGTGATGAAAGGTAGTTGGGGTCTATGGGTTGAGAACATTGTCCATGGTTGTTGATGAAATGAAAATGATGTCCAGGGGATTTAATAAATTTGATGTGGTATGAGTTAGCATATTTTATCAAGATTATATTTATATTTATATTATGTATTTTCAGAACTCAGAATGGGTCCCCACCAAATCAAACCTCTAAGCTTATTTTGAAACCTAAGATAGAAGTCTTGTTCTTTGGAAACTTTGATTAAACTAGATCATATTATAAATTTCATCTAATGGGTGAGGAACGTGTAAGGGAGGGGAATAAATGGGATGGATGTGATGAAAATACACACATTGAAACCCAGTGTTCTATAAAATTGACATGCACTGATAATAAAAGCAAAAAAAGAAAAATGTCAGTTTGGTGTTAGGAAAATACCTAGGTGAGGCTAGAATAGTGTTAGGCCAAATTGATGTCAGAAAGTCCAACGTCAGTGTCACTAGGTTTTTAAAATTTTATTGCTGATTTATGTGTGCTGCCCTGACTATGCCTTTCCCGGGTTCATCCTGAACATTAAGAAGTAGAATACAAAAAAAAAAAAGAAGTAGAATACAAATTGGTTCCTTAACTGTTCAAGATTTAAACAATGAATATTCAAACCATAAATGCTGGAGTATGTTCTAGATTTAATAGCTTGGAAGCAAAGCAGAAAGATTTTTTACCACACCCCTACATTTTCCTTCTCTAGGGATTAGAAACAATGTTGCCCCAGGCTGTCCTTGGGAATCTACC